CGCCCCAGCATCACGGAGCCAGCTGGCTGAGCTACCACGTGAACTCGAGCCGCTCAGAGCATGCTGCACTCTGAGAACGGGACTGCACACTGACACTGACCCTCACCGCGGCGGGGAGGGGCGGGGCTGGAGGATGGAGAACAAATGAAATGGCAAACGAATCCCATGTGGCTCAGGCCCAGAGTTTTGACCGGTGTCCGTTTGACCCCGCAGGGTCAGAGCGAAAGTAGAGGAGGAGGGGGTATTGGCGTGGTCCCGCCCGCAGGGCGCTATCGATTCGACGCGTTGATTAGCCGTCCGGAAAGAAACAAAATTTGGATCAGTTTATTTGCATAGCATCCTCAGCGCCCCCGCCAGCCGCGCCAGCCGCGCCACCCACGCCGCCCCCACAGTGACCCCGCTAGCGCACCGCCCCCGCAGTGACCCCGCCAGCGCCGCCCCGTCCCCATTGACCAGCGGCCGGAGCAAAGGCTGGGGCCGCGCGCGGTCAGCCATCCAGCAGCCGGCCAGCGGATCATCCAGTTACGGGTCGACTGCTCGGCTCGAAGGAATGAGGCTTCATTTCTCCGGAACGGGAAATACTAAAACGCGATGTTATTTGATGACAGGCCGGGCGGGGCGGCCGGCCATCGTGACGGGGCTGTCGCAGGCCGCGCAGCCGCGCAGGCACACCAGCACCTGCCCCGCCGCCCGCCCAGCGCAGAGATTGCAATCTGCGGCCGCTTCCTCGGTGAGGCTGGCGGGCGGGCTGTCGCAGCCCTAAACAAAACACACCATGGCGCCTTACGGCTCCGAGCGAATAGGCAACCCGCCCGCACGTCTGTTCGCTGGGTAGCATATCCATGCGTTCTGAACGGGGCTAGACTGCCAATCTGTCTTATACTGATTTTCAGCCTTCACAGAAAAACATAGCGTCTTCGTGGTGTGTTTTCCCCGACGCACCTTGGGCGGGCGTGCCCACAAAAAAACTTACATTTCCGTTACAAGATTTGTGGAAACGCCCTATTTGGTCATCGTTGTGGTCCGTGCTGCCGTGCGCCGAGGTGGACGCCTCGTTCTGGTGGCCGAGGCAGGGACATTTCGGGGTCTGCTTTCGCCCACAAGGTGGCAGCGCCTTGAACTTGGGGAAGACCAATCCCTTTCAGGTCAGGGCTTGTCCGACAACCAATCCACCACCATCCTACATCAATTATTCTGCGAGGCTGGGGTCAGAGCAAGCCTCATGTCAGTCAAAAACTAGGGGCCGTCAGCCACAAACAACACAGAGCACGGCATCGATCCACCCCCACCCCCTCCTCATCCCGGCCCCGCTCACCTCGCGCCTTGCCTCGCGTTCCCACCCTAAGGACCGCCACCTTCGCCACCGTCCCCGAGTCTTCTCTCCCGTGCCCGGCTCCAGCACGTCCCAGCCCTTACCCCCCCCCCCTCTCTGCCGCCGCCGCCCGTCATGCCCGCATCAACTCTGTGATGCGACTTGCGATGATTTTTTTACGGCGCCCGGTTCACTGCCGGGGCGAGGCGAAGTGTGCCGCGTCCATACCGGCCGGTCATACAGCCGGCCTGGCACACATCCCTCTCTTCCCCTCCGCCGTCTCGCGCCCCGCCGCGCCCCGCCGCGCCCAGGACCCGCGTCGCGTCGCCGCATTTACGGGGGGAACCGAACCGGTTCCCTCCAAAGTGTCTCCGACGACGTCGACGTGTCTACGCCGCCGGTGGTCAGGCCCGCGCCGGGCGCCGGTAGGGCGCCCACCCATCTCTCCCCGCACTCACCCACTCGCACACACACACTGCTCGCGACCGGGGCAGGGTCAGCCTGTCCCGAGCATTCAGGCCATTCAGGCTGACCTGCACTGGTCGCATCTGGCGGGGTACTACAAACATTCCCCTCCGCCTCTGCTGCATGGTGCCCTAAACCCTGACTGAGTGCACGCTGCTGTTGGGCCCTGCTGCTGGACTCTCGCGCGATCAGCTGGAGGCGGGGCCGCGGCTGGGCGCGGCGGGTCGAGCGGCTCGTGCCGGAAGAAAGGGGGGGGGGGTGAGGAGAGTGTGTCTGCTCGAGCAAGCAGGCCGCCGTGGCAGCAGCGGCCTCTTGTTGCCGTTATATGCGCGCACCGCACCGCACCGCACCACACACGGACGGACGGCCCCGCCTTTTGTGAGTGCGGATGGCGGGGCTGGCCGGGCCTGGCCCACTGCCATGTCATATGAATGCCTCGCACGCGCACCCCCCCCCCCACACACACACGCACACGCACATGCACTTCACTCGAGCATCCCAGTGCGCGAGAGGGTCGCGGGGTCGCGGCCTCCTCGCGACGCCTCGGCCTCTCGCAGATAGGATCAGCTGATTGCGAGGGGTCGACCACTCTGATTTTTGAAGTATACGGAATACATATGTATCTGGAATACTTGTGAAGTATCTGGATTTTACATATTTGGAATATTTTTGAAATATCTGGAATACGGTTGGAAGATCTGGAATTTTTTTTTTTTTTTGGGGGGGGGGGGGGGGAATTTAGACTTTGGGAATATCAGAAATATGTTTGGAATATGTGGAATGTTTTGGAATATTTTTTCAGTGTGTACGTACTTACATGGAATATCTAGGTGGTCCACCCCTCGGCTGGTTGGGGCTGGCCAGGCCATTCCAGGCCGGGGGAGCGTGAACAGCGGCCACACCCAGAACAGTATAAGTTTTTGAACTAAGTTCAGTTCTGTCGGGACAAGGTTATGCGTTTGAATCCTGCAAAGAGCATTGCCTTTTGTCCCAATGCAGATTGTAATTGATTCAAAAACATTATTTTCTGTTCCGGGTGCAGGGCGGGGACGTTATTATACCCCTTCCGCTCCCACTCGGCCCCGCCCCACCTCGCCCAAGTCCAGTCCCCTCCCACACCTACCACAAGTCCTGGGGTCCTCAGTCAGGGTCCACGGAGCCTGGAGTGTAGGTGCGTGGCGAGGAGTGGCGAGGAGTGGCGAGGCGTGGCGGGTCCTCCTCACCATGCCGTGCGGCGACAGGGGAAAGGGGGGAGGAGGGGCGTCCCGTGGGTCCTGCGGGGTTAACGGGACGCGGGCGTGAGAATGGGGTCGCGAGTGCGGTGCGGGGCATTGGTCAGGGGGGGGAGGGCTGCCGCGGGGAGCGCATGGTAATTCTTTGTTCTTCTTATTCGCCGCATTTCCATGTTTGTCGAAAGAAAATCGGAGCGGTAGTGCCGCGAGGCATGCCGTGCGCGCCGGGCCTGCGCTACGAGAGCACACTGAGGCGATTTGGGTGGGCTTCACTCGGCTCCACTGCTCTGAGGGTGTCGGAAAGGCACCGGCTAAGAAGGCCCCCGGCCCGGGCGTGCCACACGCCTCTGCCTCGCGGCATGCATCGCCTCTACGAGGGCCCCCCTGTCCTGTGAAATCCTTTAATTCTCCCCCGCTCCTCGCCCCCCACGTCCTTCCTCGTATTGGACTCTACTTCCCCCAGACTCCGGAAAGGGATCCCCGAGGCGTGGCGTGGCGTGGTGTGGCGTGGCGGGGCGGGGCGGGGCGTGGCGTGGCGGGGTGGGGCGGGGCGGGGCGCCTCACGGGAGAGTCCTGATTGATTCCGCTTGCCGTTTGGCTCGCCGGTGTCTCCCACGAGTCGCTTTGTGCGAGGGAGGCAGGGAACGGATCGGTCCATTGGGCCCACAAAGCCGTGCTCAGCATCGGTCGCAGCATCGGGAAAGCCCTTGGCGGCGGCGGCAGCGGCGGCTGTGGCGGCGGCCGTCCGACGTCCGACTTAAGCCCCGCCGTCAGAGCCCCGCTCTTCTCGAAGCGGGAGCGCCTCGGGTTCGTTCCGCAAATCTCCCTGTCGTGACATGTCTTGTCAACCTCGACATGGTCGGTGGTCGGCGACCACCTCCACCTCGCAGCTCTCACAGGCGCCGCCGGGCGCCCCGTCCCCACAGTCGTGTCCCTCCTGAGGCTTTGTGACGTCAGCGCTGACTATCATTGTGTCACCGTCACCGACGCGAGAAAAAAGTGTTGGGAACAGAGCGAGGGGTACGGGGCGGTCGGGTACCAAAGTGTGGGCGTCAAGGCCCGCGCTTGGGGTCTCGTTGCTTTATTTAAACACTCAGTGGACCCATTCACTCACCAGGATGTTTTTGTTGTTGCAGATGTGGTGCGCAGCGGGTGCGCTGGTGGTGTTGGTGCTTTCGCAAGGCGTGTCCGTCGCTTCCGAGTGCACTCCCGGGGCCGGGCATGGCCTGAAGTACCTCTGGGGTGACGCCATGAACGACCCCCTGAACTGCATCGGGCCCAGCGGCAACCCATATCCCTCGTAAGTACTCCTTAAGGGGTGTCATAATCGTAGTCCATTTTACTCTATATTCGACCATTACTATAGGGTTGCAAAAATAAACAATTAGATCTTCCTTGTCCATAGTGCAGCGATCGCGCGGTCTTGGGGTCGCGGCAACAGCGGGTCGTGGAGTGCGGGCCTGTGGGCGCAGGGTGTGTCCGCGCGCACGGGTAGGGCGTCCGCGGCGCCCACCACCCTGGACCCGCGCGTCACCCAGCAGGCGCTGCTGCGCCAGTACGAGATCACCAACAAGCAGGCCGAGATGGAGCACTCTGCCCGGACAGGTGAGTCCTCGTGACGCTCTAGTGCCGCCCCCGACTGGAGGGACGGCGCACCAGCTTGGCTACAACCATATATACTCACTGTACTACAACAATATACTCACTTCTCACTTACTTGTGCCGACGCAGCGCGCAGCGGCTACTCGCAGAGGGACGCCTGCCCGACGACGGCACCCACCCGGCTGTGCAAGACGAGGTACAACACGACGGCGCCCATGTACGGCGTGTCGCTCACCTCCGGTCAGCCCGTGACCATCGTCCAGAAGTTCCCCGACTTGCTGCAGCAGGTGGTCTTCGAAGTGTGCGAGTAAGTTGCCGCCGACACTTGGGGGGGGGGGGACATACAAATCGATTCCATTCGTGTTGACGGCTTGAAGACATTGACTGCACGTCTGTTTGCACCCTTTGCAGATCGAGTGAGTGCGACGTGGTGCGCGGCGAGTGCACGCAGACGTATGTGCCGTACCTGTTCCTCGTCATCCCGCTGGGACCCGTCACGCTGACTGGCCAGGACTACGTCCTCGTCGAGAGCGGCTGCGTCTGCCGGCCCAAATCGTCAGCGTCAGCTGCCCCGGAGCCGTCGGCGCCGCCGCCTCCAGGGCCCTGAAGAGGAGTCGCCGCTGTCGACATCGTCATGCAAGCCCTGCGGGATTTGAGTTTTTCTCGTATCTTTCAAGAACCGTTGGCGCGCAAAGAGACTGATCTGTAACATACGTGCTAATATGCCTAGAAAAGGATGCGAAGAGAGGTTAAACGTGGCACTGCCGGTACTCGTATCGACGAGCGGGGTCGTGTCGCGCCCGCGCCGTGACGAGTAAGCGATCATACCGTTAGCTTCGATACTCGTACCCCCTTTCTTCGCGTTGTTTTTTGCTCTATGGCCCACTGAGGAGAGGTGTTCCAGGAGGCGTCCCACAACGGTATGCGAGACGTGCGGCATGTCTGGTCGAGCAAATTGTGTACCATTCCCCGCTAAAAGGTCGAGCTGCGTCGAGCTGAAAACAAGGCGTCTTATTTCGAGGCGCTGCTCCGCTCTGCCCAGTCTCACGTGACGCTGGGCTGGGCAGAGTGGCGGAACTGTCTCACGAAAAGTGTTCAGCTGGGGTCGTACTCTATCGTGTTTAAGTCGCAGTCTTTCTTTTCTGTTCTTTCGTCAAAGTGCGTTGTCTTTTGTGGCACGCTCTCAAATAGTGACCATGGTTGTGGGCTCACAAATCTAAAGTTTACCAAGTATGACTGCAAGGACTTTCAGCATATACGTTCTTCAAAAACAGGTCATGGTGTTGGGCGAAACGAAATTGTTTCTCAAGATAAGCTGAACACTTTTCGCGAGAAGAAATACGATTCAACCCAACAGTTCTTCTATTTATGTTAAATTTAAAATGTTCGAATGTGAATGTATGTGTGAGAGAAAAATAGAGGAGGGTATGAATCTTTCGCGTGTCTGTAATTAAGTGTCTTTTTAAAATGTCTAACTTATGAAAGATTATAATTTATTTTTGTGCAACTTTGGAATACGAGAGATGTGAATCTGAAGTCTTTAAATAGACATTTATTAGTGGTACCCAAGATAACGTAATGAGAATTTTATGTGATAAAAGAACTATGCCCATCTGAGTCACATTACGCGGACCCGGTGGAATCTTTAATTGTAGTTTTGGCTTTCGAGTTTGGCTCCATGCTTCAAGAGCATTCAATATACAGTGTGAGTGTACGTACGCATTTCCCCCCGCCCACCACCGCAAAAAACAAGTGATCGTATAAAACCTGTACTTTATGAAAGGGGGGGGGGGGACTTTTTCATGATCTGCCAGAGGTTGCATATAAAACAAAGTGTAACAACAGACGAACCAGAAAATAAACAAAATGAGCCGACGAATCGTTGCCTGATACTTTGACCAAGCCCGGCTCCTCGCAGGGAGAGCATCTCGCCATACTCACCCGCGAGACGACGCGGTAGGATGGGTTGCCTACCCAGCCGAGTGCAGGCGCCATCCCGCACGCGCCTCCTCTTCAGAACGCTTCAGGAACTGCAGCTTCGTGGCTGCAACTCGCACTCGCGGCCGGCCCAGTGTAGCGCGCGGGGCACCGGCCAGGCCGTGGCTCTCTGGCGGTATCACACACAATGCAGTGCGGCGGGCCCCGCGGGGGGCTAGCGCAGCTAGCGGCGCCGCCGGTGGGGGGCTGGCGTCATCGGCGGCAGTGGGCAGCATGGTGCTGCCCGGGGTGGTGGCCACGGTGCTGGCCGCGGCGCTGCTGCTGGGGGGCCGTCATGCCACCAGCACCGCCACCACCTCGGCCTCCACCGCCGCGGTGTCTCCGAGCCCGACCACCAACACCACCGCCTCCACCGCGGCCGTCACCAACACCACGGCGGCTGCGGGGACCAGCAGCAGCACAGTGCCGCCTCGGCTGCTGTTGGCCGACGACGACATTGACGCGCACCACGACTACATCCCGACGAGTAAGTGGGTTCGCGGAGTCGCCGACTGGGTGCCGATGTGCCGATACGCGTCGTACGGCTGCCAGTGACTGCCCTTGTCGTATAGGTCGGGATCACGTCCTGTGCACGGGGCTGAGGTGCAAGGAGGGCAACGGCGGCGTGCGACCAGCGTGCGGCTACTGGGACGTCAACAAGTCGTACTTTCTGTTCGACAGCTTGTGCGACATGCTCTACTTCAGCTGCATGACGGAACGCAGTACGTATCCTAGGGCCACGGGGTGCGCGCGTGCTACTCGGAATAAACAGTGTCGACCAATCAGGTGACGAAATATTGACGCACACTGGACTGGAGGTAGCAGCAATGTGGGTAATCATAGTGAATTAAGCATCGAACCTGTCAGTCGGCACTCCGAGAACTCCGTGGCGTTATTTTCTTGTTGGATAAAATAGTTGACAGCCGAATGAGTCGAGTGTCCGCTTCTAAAAGTCCTGTGGTTTCTTGTGCAGATTACGCCCAGGTGACCCTTACCTTGTGCACGGAGGGCGACCAAACGTCCACGGCTGGCCGGCAGACCACAAGGCCACTGAAAAGCAGCACGTCGACTTACGGCGTGCCGACGACAGCCAGCCCTAGTAGTCCGTCGCTCTCCTGGACAGGCGCGCAGTGGACGACCCAGAGGCCGAGTCACGCACCCCACCCGTACCCTTCCCCGCCCTCCTCTCCACTTCCTGTTCTCACTTTCCCCCCACTCCCTACTCACCCCGAATGGTCACCACCGTGGCAGCACACGTCGGTACAGCCCACTACCCTATACAACCTTCCACCCCCG